CAGGAATACAACTGTGTCATTGGAGGCCCTCCCTGGGGGGGCTCTGGGAGACCCTCAGCATTCAGCCCCTGTCTCGCCCACCCCTGGGCACTACTCACCTGCACAGAGCATCCACAGCACGGGCTGCATCTTCCCCTCCATGGTCTTGTGTCCTCTCTGCCCGGAGTCCAGCCTGGTGCTGGTGGGCCCCTGACTTTAACCAGTCTGGGCTGACTGGTTAAAGCTACGACAGCCTCTGGCCCAGCCCAGACTTCGATCCCTGTGGTTTCTCCCTTCCTGTCTACCTTTGCCCAGTCTGGCCCCCATGGCCCACCCCTCGGCTGGACTGACAGGTGAGCTCACCTGTGGGACTGGACTGCTCCACCCACTTCACCAAAGGCCCCAAAAGGAACGTTCTCCACCTTCTCAGTTACCTCCCCTGCCTTCTCTCCACCTAGCAGATGTGCAAAGTCCTGAGCTTCTCACTATCACGTGGGCTTCGCCTATAAGGGACAGGAAGTTGCCGCCTCGTAATATCAAGGGAAATGATCTCAGAGGAAGGGTTTCAAAGCCAATAAAAGAAGGGTGTTAGTCACAATTGCTGACATACTTCAAGGCATAATACGATCTGTTAATCTACTTTCCTTCTGGTCTACCTCACTACCACGCTAGAGACACAGTCATGAGGAAGACCGGAAACCTCTACCCCCAGAGAACTATTAACCTGGTCAGGGAGGAAGATAGTATACAAGCAACCAAGATAGTCAGAAATACAGTGACCAGTTTGTCTCAGTTTGCTTGGAAGTCTCCCAGTTTTAAAACAGAAGGTCCTATGTCCCAGGAATGTCTCCATCCCAGGCAAACGGGGATGGCTGGTCACCCTACTTAAAGAGTGCCAGGGGCTTCCCTGGTGTCACAGTGGTTGAGAGTCCGCCTGCTGATGCAGGCGACACGGGTTCGTGCCCCGGTCTGGGAGGATCCCGCATGCCGCGGAGCGGCTGGGCCCGCGAGCCATGGCCGCTGAGCCTGCGCGTCCAGAGCCTGAGCTCCGCAACGGGAGAGGCCACAACAGTGAGAGGCCCGCGTA